TCCTCGATTGTTTCCCGATAATTTGTTCTTTTACTGATCCATTTACGTCTAGTCTCACAAAGTCAGGCTTTTCTGGATTATTTTTTAAATTTTGCATCGCTGTTAAGTATGGTGTTCGTTTAATTATTTGTTGCAATTTGACACAATTTTGAAAATCAAACGCCATTTTAGCTACCTAGATTACATTACGTAACTACTAGTGGTATCTGGACTTTATTAATAGGGGCCTACGTTCGATAAAGGTTAGGTCAACTCACGGTAAGCTTGTCGATTGCATTCAGGTGACACGTTATGCTAAAAATACTATTGAAATTCATAACCATAACTAAAACTGTTGCAATTACCGTGTAACCTGCACGACGTTTTACTCCTTGCCCGCACGTCACGTCGTTAAAAAAACATTTATTACGGAATGTCATGACGATGTCCCAGTCACTAGGTCTAGCAGGCAAGTGGCCTACTAAACCCACCAACTACCAACAATTTTCTTTTATAGCATTAGCCGGTAAACGAGCAGACGGATCACCTGATGGTAAGCAATCGGCGTCGCCCATGGACACCTGGAACACCAGAGGCGTTACAAGTGCGTTACCGGCCTTTTGGGGATTAGGAGTTTGAGGATCGTTGGGGATTCAGTAATTGGGGAGATTGGGGAAGGGGTGGGTAATTGGGCCTCCGGTAACCTCACTCGCATGACGAAACACAACGCAAGCGTTGCTTCACGTCGGTTTTCCGTGCGGTCGTGTTATCACTCCGGTCGAGCCGGCCCATTCGTGCCGAAGCGTGGCTCTCCCACACTTACATACTGTACTGTACAATACTGACTTACATCCTATTTTATTTTATTTATTTATTAAACATTTCAGGCCATAACAGCAGTCGATATGTGACTGAAGTATTAGTAAAAACTTTAACTTGAAATTACGTTCGTAGTGTTAGTAATCAATGTTAACAAAAAATAAAAGCAAGAGGAAACGTTAAAATCAAAGATCAATAGTCTGTCTATCTATATCAAATTTTTTATAGGATTGGACAGTCAAATCTGGATTTTAGATCCACTATTCGACTATTCCAATACAAAATGAGATATACGAACTAGGCATCTACTATAGAATGTAGATCTGTAATATAGCACTCCAAAACATAGACCAATCGAAATTATACAACTCATGTTATAAATGTCAAAAAAAGTATTTGTAAATGTCAAAAGTCCGAAGATGATCAAATATTACAAGGCTAAACAATGTTTATATGTATGCAAGAAACTTTGAACATTCTAATCGTAATTAACAGAACATTTCACAATAAACACATTTATCTGAAATTAAACAACGTCGGGTATAGACCAAGCTATTATTTGTCATATTTACATTACGTTTATTTGCATAGTCCATTGTTTATATACCCTGCCGCCCCATACATACATGCAAACATCAATCTCTAGGCGCTCGAGGTTCCAGGAAGGCCCAAAACACTATTAAGTCACAATATTGACTTAAACAAAAATGAACGACGAACAAGAAGAAAACATACACAATGAAACTTGAACAAATTGTTTATAAAAAATCTTTTGCTTTATCAACTAAGTATTAACAATATGCAAATCGAAAACCAATACAATCGCCAATTAAAATATTTGCGTATAAAATTCTATAGTTAAATACCTAATGAATGTCACGTTTTTCTGTAGTTAAATAATTTAAGACCAAAGGGGGCGATGGCCATATATTACCTTCGTCTTGTCTAGAGGGCGGCACCGCAGTACCACTGGCATGTCTAGTACAAATAAATTCTGTACAAACATATATCAGAGGGATTGGGCGTACCGTTTGACATTCAACGCGGTTGCAATAAAGCGAGTATTATGCAAAAATGGCAGTGATGCAAGTATGCAAGCGGAATGGATGGGAGCGTCTTCATTCGCGAGTCGCGGTCTGTGGCACGACTCCTCCGCCATTCACGTCCGGCACAGAGCCCCGGGCACACGCTCGCTGGTACTGGGATAGGGTTGGAAATATTCAGCTAACACCCACTATGCTTATTACAGGGAGCTTATCCATATTTGTATTATTATATTGAAAATACATTCTTTGATGTCACTGCATGAAAACGCCACAAGCATCGTCGTGAAAGTTTGATTTTTGTTTATTAAATTGGTAACTGTTTAGTCGTTCATCCATTCTTTATCATGCATCTACCTAGAACAGATAACAGAATTAAATACATAATATGTAAGCAAATAAACAAAGCGTGCGTCAAACATAGAGCCGCAATTTGTGGAATTATCGCCATCACGTATCGATTTTATTTTAAAGTTCTGAACATCGCAAAAATATTAGACGTGGCTTCAAAGTTTTAAAGTAACAGAAAGGACTACCAGAATAGCATTCACGAGTGTTTAAAAAGCTCTTTAAAATTAATCCCCTGTTTCACTCTTTGTAATGTTGAAGCAGACAAACACTAACCAAATAACCACGAATTTTGACTGTTTTTATCAAAAGACATCGAGACCGATGAAAGCTATTATACTCCTATAACCGTATTGTTTCGAAATATTGCCTTGAAATCAAAGTATGTATTTCAAATATTAGATTAAAGCTTTTCAAGAACCCTTAAATATTTCCTCTCTTCTACTACTGTGCTGTGCCTGTATTTAATTCTGTACTTATTTTATAACAATCAATACTATCTACTTATATCTGAGGCGCGAAATCATTTCGATCACTTGACAACCCTAGGAAGGGTTAAGTCCCAGAGTACCGGAGATTAGGTAAACGAAAATAGACCGGCTTGTTTACGTTTGATGAACACACTTCGCGCTTCTTTGACTTTCTGAATTTCAGATAAAGTCGACTTTTAGAGTAGCCTTGAGATCTTAATCGGTTAAAACTTACATAAGCTATAAATTCACTAAGGAATCATTGATATTTCAAATTTAATTTTGTTTTAGTTACATAAAAAGCTTCATCTAATGCTCGGAAGAAACTCGACCTATTATTTTCTCTGTTGTAAATGATAATCAGTTGACCGATCACGACATTTGGGGTAATCAATGACAAAGAGCTGTTCAGCGGACGTAGAGTGTGACAGCGACTCGCGAGTAGGGCGGGAATAGGGGCAGAAGCGATCACTGCCGGCATCGACTGAACGGGAGCGGGAGCGGGAGCGTGGTAACAAATGGAGCGAGTCCCGCGGGAGCGACCGATACCCGCGTCACAGCCCCCACTTCTAGTCTAGCCCATCATTAATTTAATAGATTATTTTTTGTCTTGACAGGTGAACAATACGCCCTTCACAGTTATTTAAATGTCATCTGTGTCAAAACTTGCCATAACTCTATTTTCATCAGCTTTTCGAAATATTCAAGTTAATCAATTATTTAACCTTTGCGCATCATTTAAAATCTGTTTCATAAGTATTCTGCTCAGTTCGACCCTGAGGGAAAAGATGTGATAATACATGTTGGTCCGTGGCAGTTCATTTATCCACGACTGTCCGTTAAGGCTACATACCTACCACTTATCTAAATTGCAGCGTGAGCCGTTGAATGTGTGTGTCTGTGTGTGTTATTATTATGTATTCTGATCACATTTCTCACTTGCAATGGCACACAGCACCGATGCAGGTCGTATTGCGAACTATCACGTCGCAGGCTGCGTGTATTATAAATACGACGCTAATACTTCCACGCTCACATTGCTCACTGTCAATAATTACATAACCTTCGTCGGTTCTCGTAACACACGCTAATTAATGAACTTATAAGCATAAATAGGTACTTATTTAAATATTGACATAGGAGCATTAGAAGCGGCCTTTTTTCCTTCGAAACTGTCAAAGGTTTCACAATAATGGTTGTCATCAATTGACATTATATGTGTTGCGATATGCACAGTGGGAGACGATGAGCTAACTATATAACGCAGTAGTGAAACATTCTATTAACTATGCTACTAATAGATAGAAGCAATTCCATTAATCTAAATCAACGAATAATCATCCATACTACATATAAGTGTTTAGTTTTTCATCTAAACAAATAAATGATAAACTATATAGAAATAACTGTCCGGATTCCTATTATTTTACCAAAACGTCGCATTTAATTTGATCTCTCTTTGATTTTTTACCCAGTTATATTTCAATTGCCCGTTTCAACGCCGACGTAAAAAATATTTCTTTTTTTATAAAGTTTGCCGAGATGTTGTCTCCCGATGCGGATTCCTTCTTTTTGTAGCGCTTGATTGATGACTTTTCTTACAACGTGACGCTTCTTTGGAACTTTTCGACTGAGCTTGTCCTCTTAAATCCATCAAGAAGAGTCAATTACAGCTAACAAGGTTTTAGTATTGATAGCCACCTAATAAAATACTAACAAGCTTCTTTCGTATGATTGTATTAAACGTGAATTTGTATTCTTATCATGACTGTCAGTCAGGCTTTCACAGTAAAGACCTTTTTATGACATTGCTTTCATTTAAAAGCTGTATAGCTCTTCCATTAGCACTAGGAATTAGATAGTCTAGACGATGTCCTACAGCCTTAACGGTTACAAAAAGAAAGCTAATTTGTCAGTGAATTCCTAAACTTTTTGCTGCATTGTGTTGAATGATGAAAGAGTTTTTGCGTCCCTGCATCTATGTAGGTACGACATAGTGGTCGTGCGGCTCGTGACCTCACGCATCTCACAAAATTCCAACTCCATTTGCTGGCTACGTGCGTGAAAAAGCTGCCATGTCCACATTAATATCATTTCCCCCGGGATTTGGTTGAATAATCGACTTATGCCAGCATTGATCTGTACTATGTGGGTGGCTTCCACCAAATGTTAAATTTAACTTTAGCACGCCCGTCTCTCGTAAATGTTCATAAAGCCCGCCATCCCGTATTGCAAACATCTCTAATGTATGCACGCTAAGTATACGTTGTGTAACGTTAAATCTAACGAAGTGCATGTAAGTTTAATGCAATTGACCCCACACAAAGTTCATTCCTGCCAGGACACTAAGTCAACGGACGATCCTGGGCAGTGATCCGGAGAGGAGGGAAGTGCCACCAGACACGCTCTCTGCCCACAACCCACGATCTACACACAATGTACACATAGGTAGGTACCAACTTACATACATCTATTTACTTACATATGTACCTACATCTTATACATCCAGTGAATATTACAGTAAAAACCATAGGAATATACAATCGAGGTTGAGGTTGGATAACATAGAACGTATATATCCTTGACATTTTAGAATTAGACATAAACATCAAAGGTGTGAATCATTGACAGCTCGCTTCTTCATACAGTGAATTGACGTAGACTATGCAACGACATTCTATTAATAATAAATTATAGAAATCATTAATGATTACTTGCGTCGTCGCTACTGATTTTAGTCACCAAAATTACCAGTTGGTTAATGCAAATAAACGATCGTTACCGGATAATTGTGCCTAACCGGGCGTGTTATGTCACTGTAGAAATAAATTGCGCTTAGAAACCTATAAAGAGTATTGCAAATAGGAGCCCAAAGTGACAGACAAGGATAAACAATTTATTGCCTCACTAACAACGCTAAATCTGCAAGGGCAGCATTCTTGCACGCATTCACAAACTGTAAGCCATCAATTAACCTTAGAGTAAGGTGCTTACGTTATAGGAATTCCCATAATGCAGTAGAACCCTTTTCAATTTGCTTTGATTGAAACCATTTTTTCTTGGAACGCATTTAAGCTTCGTGCCTTGAGGTACAATACTTCGATGAAAAACATCATCAAAACTTAGAAGAAGTAGAACTATCCTGGTTTTTTGCATAACCGCTCGCAATGCCTTCTTATATCAACTCATTCATCAGGAAAATGGTATGGTAATTAACATGGATCCACAAATCATACCGTACTTATTTTGATTTCTATTTGCGATGCAATATTTTATAAAGCTAATAAAACTTCTTCAACTGTCTTGCCTGTTTGAAGTGGGGCTATATTTTTGTGTTAATGACAAAAAATGTAAATCAAAGCAAGAAGTGATTGATATACTGCTCGACTGTGGCACAGGCTGACTATTAAATTTGAAACGTTTTTGAACTTGACTGGGGCTATTAAAGCGTTATTAAGTCTGGTTCTATGGTGGTACAAGCCAGCCATGGTGTCGGTGGCGGGAGGGAGAGTGTCGGAACGCGTTTGATGCATAAGTGATCAAATGGACTTCACTGGCGCGGGTCGATGTCCCATTGCGCAACAAACCGTTACATATCTATTTAAATTAAGTTCGGATATGTTTAATGTAAGTACTATCACGATCCTAATCATGGCGGCCCGTGGTGGCAGCCCCGAGGGCTACAAGACGTGTTGACTTAAATTCAAGCACAATTACGTACAAATTACACAGTTGTACGTGACTCGGGAACGCTTCTTGCAATCATGTCACCCGTTTCAACGACTTGCGATTTTATCGTACCGCGCTTGTTTCCTTCTTGTACCAAACCATGTTAGTGCAGTAGGAAGTTACCTTACAGTACCTATAGTCAGAATTTTAATTAGATTCCAGATTTGACAATAGCTACTGTCATTTTGTGAAATAATGATACCACATATAATAGTGTAGTGATGGAAACAAAAATCGATAAACAATCACTGTGTGTGTTTTATAATAAATGTTACAGAAAGTGACAGGATAGCGATAGCCATGACGGCGACAATTTATAAAATAACTTATTACCATAATACATCTATCTGTTTTATTTGTCATGTTCCTTCATGATTACATTTTTTATTTATTTCACACACAATTATAAAAGAAAAGTCTCAGATCGTTAATTAATCGTCAAAACTAAATTATCGGTTCAGAAATATTTAATTTCCTGATATACTTAGTTTACGAGAGCAAAATTATAAACGAGAAGAATCGATCCAGAAATATTGCATTTCCATATCGAATAATTTCTCAACGTCACTATTTAGTACTTGTCATAACGTTGTAACACTGAAATTGTCAAATCTGGAATCGAATTAAAATTCCGAGTATACTTACTCAATCCGAACCATTTTTCATCTTTGTTGATGCCATTAAACCGTTATTATGTCTGTTGCTACCAACAGTATGAGGCAGCTATGATCAATATTGCATTAGTTTATAAGATGCAGTTAAAATTACGGTAGATAAATGGAGATATAAAAATTATTCAAAAACATAATTTATGAACATTAACTACCTATTGAATATATTATTTATTACAACGATGTTCAACATTATAAGTAGGTATATAAGTACCTATGTTTGGACATCAATTTTAATATTCTAATTATAATATGACCAATTGACCTTAACAATAAAGAAGTAGCAAAACATGTTTTTCTATCGTTATTGTTATCTACCAATTCTTATCCAATAAAAATTTACAAAGGTTATAACTAGACTATTTGATAAAGTTTTAGCGAACTGAATTCTCACATTAGTTTTGTTTAAATTAGGGGTATAACAGGTTTTAGTACCCGTTACTTCTGATGCGAATGCGATTTCATTAAATCGATCAATGTTATCGATCGATTCTTTACGGTAGCTAATGTATTGGATGCGTCATAATAAACTTAGGTACCTAATTACGTTCAAAATGGCTACAAAGTGTTCTAAAGGCACACTTACCTAGGGTGCTGTAGTAAGTAGGACTGTGTAATCGAACAACGCTATCACGTTACTCCATCGGTTGTAGCCCATCAGAAGACGAGCTACGCGGATAATTATCAACTTGTAGGTACCTACTATACATCGCAGATGGTGTGATATTCAATATTAATGTAGCGTGAAATAATTTAAAGCGTTTTCCAGGGCTATCAATCTGGCCCGTTAATGAGATTCGTCCGGTCGTTGGCGACTGCGTCGACCAATTTGTGCCACGTTGCACCTCGCTAATGAAATACATAGGCACAAACTTCATAGCGCATAAAATAATCCCATCTCCAGCAGTTGCATCGCATCCGTTCGGTAAATGGATTTCCATGGCATACATTTGCTAGAATAAATATTTAATATTTTTAGTAGAAACGTTGATAGAAATCAAACCAAAACGTAAACAACGTAGCATTCGTGGCCACCGCCATGAATATTTATGCTAATTTGGTAACAAAAACAATCTCTTTATTTGTTTTGTATTTAGGAAGGAATTAAATCTATTCTTGTCTTTATGAATTATGGTGTTTGTTTGTGATCTTATAGCTTTTGGTTTAAATATTGTGGTATCATATCATGAAATCATAACATTGTTAATATGTATTTCACAATAGCGTCGCGAGATCTCTCGCGAGCCCATCTCGTTGTTCGACCGGGTGACAGGCCCCCGCGGGCCGCGGCCACGACCTACGACCGCGCTTTCTCTCATCTGCCCACAGCAAACATCGCTCGCTTTCCAATCTTCTGTGAAACTATTGTCACTTTATCCTTCAACTTATGCACTGTGCAGGATGCACTACAGTGACACATGTAATGTCAAATGTGTTCAGTAGTAAACTAGTGAGTCATTTGCAAACAATGGTACTCGCCGGAAATGTTCAGTGCGACCACTCATTGATACTACATACTTTCTCAACAGATGCTATAATATTTGACTGTATCATCACTAATAAATATCGGACGGCCAATAACAAAATATTATATGGAGAATTAGTATCAGTAACTCAGCGTTGCTGCATCGCTGTTCGCTAGTTATTTATAACGAGCGCGTTCTTAAACAATCTACTTATAAACTAGATGAGTAGTGATTGGCCGAGTTGCAACGCAGACATAAGTTTCAATCTGTTCGCTTCCTGCGTCTCTGACGTCTCAATTGCTGCTCTTTTGTAATCAACAATTTGTGCCGCCACTCGGCGCGATGCTACCGTCGTCGTTCTCATTCAATAACAACGTGAACGAATTCCAGACAATTTTAGTTCCCTCGTTATGATTATGTCACTTCTATATCTATTGTGAAACCGAGTACATGAATTGTCGCAAGAAAAACGGGTCTTACTGCTAAATCTCGCAATCAGTCACGCGCAAGAACGCATCGTAGGAACATATCACCATAATAAACATAATATAATATATAGCCTCTTGGATATTAATACGTTTAAGGTGATATAATTTTCATTAGAATATTTACTTACAATAATAGCTTCACAACCCGTTTTAAAATTAATTAAGGTAAATAAGAAGCCATTTGCTAAAAATTAAAACCTAAAAGATAAGACCAATCTAATTTAAAAATACTTAGAAATCTTCTCATAACCATAATATTTACATTTGTCCAGAATCCTAAAATATCGAGTTACAATATTAACATTAATTTGTAAGACTATAAAGAGTATTTACTGCTCTCAACAAAAGTATGCTTGCATAATATTTAAACATGTTATTATACTATAATCAGGGTTTGGTAATCTGTTCGTCCTACATAAAAATTGGCTTTAGATTGAAGATCTTTTTGCTCGTTTAATGCTAGGGGCCATGCCATTGTCTCTGCAAACAGCAATTTATATATCGCAATGCAAGCATCACGCGACCGCTTGTGTGTATGGTTTCAAGCTAATCGGCTTCCCGCTTCACACCAAACATTAAAACTGCATTAAATTCTATTTAACGGTGGATGGAGCATGCCTAGTTAAGTAATTGAAAAATATGTTCGTGCTTCATGCAATGCAAAAATCTTCAACAACTAATCAGTAGAAAATGTATAGTCGAGATCGACGATAACCAAAGACATTTTTTTTTTTTTAAGGGGGGAAATTCAAAACCAAAGACATAGAAATAAAAGGAAGGCAGTATCAGATATTTTGCTCCGAATAATTATGAATGTCACGGTGAGGGAACAAAGGCAGTGGATAGGTCACGCAACAATAAATTGATCTCGCGCACACGTGTGCAGTCGCACTCGCAACCAATGTCGGATATAGATCGAATGGCATCTTACTTCATTAAACTGTGTCTTTTCAATGACCACGAGCTGTCGTTGTGTAGCCACGCTTCAAACAATTTTAATTGATTAAAACATAGTATCCGCAGAAAACTACACGGTTGGACATGAAAAGGATACGCTCATGTTAAGCATGAATGAAACTGTAACCGTAACATTT